GTGCTAAACTGGACATTCATGATTTTTCTCATAGACAGTGATTCACATTATTTTTTAGTTGATGCAGTTTTAATGATTTGGCAGATATTTGCCCATTTTTTTCATCTCTATAGTAATTATATTTTTGTAGGGCTTTTAGTGTTACTTTCTAGATTTGAAATTAATAAGTAAATTGTGATTTTCTTCATTTGTAATGTGAAGCCTTTGATGAATTCAAAAGATATTTGAAGGCATCACAACCTTGGAAAAGATAAAATATAGTGACTAAACCTTAGAAGGCCTCAGCTTTTTTTTTGTTTGTTTGTTTTGTTTTTTTGTTTTTCTCTGGTACTGGGAACTGAACTCACGACCTTGTGCTTGTCAGGCAGGCGTCTTGCCGCTGAGCTAAATCCCCAGCCCCTGACTAAACCTTAGAGATTGAATCACATACCCTAGTGGAAGCTAGTTTTGCAGTGTGATATTGTATAACTTTGGATTAGCCACCTAATTATCTAAGTCTCAGGGATCACACAGTACCAATAAATTAATTTTGTTATGGAGCATAAATGCTTAAATGATGATCTGATGTCTAGTTCTAGTAAAGTAGAATATCATGTAAATTGTTCTACCTTAAAATTTCAAAACTGCTGTTCTCATCTGCTCTGCTATTAAACATGACCTATTTCTATCACTTTAATGTAGATCTTAAACATGGTCGATGACATACCTGTATCTTATTGTATTACATGTGTAAATTTAAGTATGTTTATTTCTATACTTCCATAAATCTTTCATACATACTTGGAAACACCCCCAAATCAGAAAAAAGATATGTTCACAACTTGTCTTTATCCCACTTAGTGTATTTTTCCGTCTGTTACAGATTAAGATTATGGGGGCATTCCCTTAGATCAGTTATGGTGAACTATAGCTTTTGGTGGTCACAAGCATCCTGCTGTGGCACCCATGCCATAGGTTCACCACCACCACTGGCCTACACCCTGCTGAGGGCATTTTATAACCTGTGGTTCATTATCTTTCTGTAAATCTGAAAAATTCTTGAATCTGAGGACACTTCTGATATTACAGGTTTAGGTCTTTGGAAGTGTTTGTTACATTTTAAAACTGTATTTCAAAAATGAAGGTACTTTTCATAGTGTTTTAATAACATTTACATAATACTTCCTTTGTAGTTCATCTACCTATGACTTAGCAACTCCACTGCTAATATTTGTCTTACGATAAATGAAAAAGCCATGTGTGAGGATTTTCACTGTGGCTGTATTCATTATATCCAAAAAAAAAAAATGAAATGTTTGTAGCAGAAAAATGGATGGACAAACTACTACTCAGCCATTTGTTAAAACAAAGAATTACCGGTACATGCAGCAGCATGCATGAGTGTTAGCAATACTGTGCTGAGGAAAAGTAACTAGACATAAAAAAATTACGTGTGTTTCCATTCCCTGAATTGTAGAATAGGCAGTCAGACTCGGTGTGACAAGAATCAAATGGTGGTTGGTGTCTCAAACATAGGTGACTTGGTTGGTGTGAATGTTCTCTGTCTTCGTGTGCATTCATCAGTTGATCCAGTGTTACACTTAAGATCTAGAAATTTACCACACCAAAATTATACCTTGAAGCCCAAGGATATAGCTCAGTGGCACAGCTCCTGCCTGACAAGCACAACGTCCTGAGTTTGATTGAAAAAAAGACATTACACCTCGATTTATCTAAAGACTGTAAAACATAGGACAAATACTTAAATGAGAACTTTTGAGATTGCAGATAACCCCTTGAATTAAGATATATAACTTCAGGATGCCATTTTTGATCAGTTGTTATCCTTGACAGAAGTCTAATTTGCAAGCCAGCTGTGGTGGCACATGCCTATAATCCCAGCACTTTGGAGGCCGAGGCAGGAAGATTGCACTGGGTTCAAGCACAGGCTATGCCTACATAGTGAGTTCAAGACAAGCCTTAACTACATAGCAAGACCTTGTCTCAAAACAAAGTCTGTAATTACTGACTAGTAGAAGCTCCAGAAGAAGCTCCTTGACTATAGAAAAAAGTTAGAGGCCACACTGTACAGCTTAATGAGACCCTGTCCAAAATTAAAATACAAAATAAATGGCTGGGTATATAGCTTAGTGTCAAAGCACTTGCCTAGTGTAGACAAGGTACTGGGCTCAATCTCAAGTACTACTCCCTGCTTACCTAGCACATACAATGTACTGGGTTCAGTCTCAAGTACCTACCACACTCAAAAGGACAATAGATTTAAGAGTTTAGGAGCAAGGTTTAGATTTGAAAAAGATATGGTATACACCTCTACTAGGATTTAGGCAGGTTCCTATCCCAAATTTCTGCCCAGACAAAGACAAGTCGAAATAATCCCTTCCATGTGAAAATAATTCTGTAATGAACTTTGTTTTTCATGAGACACACAACATCATGCTCTATGAGTAAGAGTGGTAAGACTGGTAAGAGGGGTAGAAGTATACTTACGTACAAGAGAGTGAAGCTCATCTGCAGCAAGACTACCTGGGCTGAAATGCCAGTGGTGCCACCCTAGACCTTCTGCTTTTCTGGGGAAACAGTAATTTAGCCTGCCATAATGCGCCCCAGCCCTGCATGCATAACCTACTCTCAGCTTCAGCTGATGACATTGTGATGGGTAGAGCCAGCATTTTTAATGAAGACTTTGCTGCTCTTATTTTTATTATTCTGTTTTAGTGATCTCTGCTGTGTTTTCAGTATCCTACATCCTGCAGATGTGTCCCGTACACAAACTGGCGGGCACACATTCACTTCTTCCATCAACTTTCTCTTTGGTTTTCATCCATGTTTGACATTGTATCTTCGCCTGATGAGTGTTACACAAAAGAAGCAGCTCAGTTCAAATGTATTTTCTGTTGCCTGTTCTCTGTGTGAAAGATTTTTTTGTGTCATCTTTCTGTTTTCAGTGTTTTTTTCTGACATTGTCAAGCTTGAAAGCAGTATGCATACTGTTTCCTTCTTTGAAATATAGAGTATAATATGTAGTACTTTCAGTGTCATATAATATACTTTTGGTATTTGGTTTTGAACCACTTAATTTTAATTTAATTATTAATATTAATAGTGTTACTGAACGTGTTCTAAAATTTTTGTCATAATGAATTTTGAATTATTCTTTTCTAGTAATGATTTGCTTATTTTTAACCAGTAATTTCTTTGTTTTTCAAATAAATCATGTTTACTTTTTTTTCATTGATCTTTGTGCCAGTTGATGGGCGTCAAAGAGTAGCAATTCCACCATACTTGTGTCTTTTTCCTGTATTCTGTTGTAGAGTAGGTTTTTAAAAAGTCATCAGTGGGACACTGAATGTTAATCTTCATGGTTTTACTCACGTTTTTCTTTAATTCTGTGTGATTTATTAAAAGTCCGCCTGGCAGTTCTGTTTATTACATATTACAGCACACTATTCCCTGCTATGATGCCTAAGATCTTTGCACTATTGCAGTTGTACTTGTCCTAGTTCTGCCCTTTTTCTAAATCAGAAATAGCATTATATCAGTATAACGTATCATTGGTTCATTTTTCTTTTTAAATGTTAAATCCTAATGACTGGATGATGCATTAAAGTGGGTGTACTCAGTTGCAACCCTACAACCATTTTCAAATTGATTTCATAGATGGACCTGGAACTGCTACTTCCTTTTACTTTGGCTAATTAAAGCTTACCCTATAGGATTTAGACATTGGGATTTGAAAACAAAGCTAAAGATATGACACACCAATCCTATGAAAAGTAACTACTGGCAACTAATTAGCGAAGGGGCACGTGATAAATAAAAAGTAAGCTTTGTGCTCTCGGAGCTCCCTCTGGGAGTGGTGATGTTCAGCAAGCTGTATGTAGTTCAGGACAGAAACTGTGATCTGGGGGCAGCGTCACGAAGACAGCATTTTGACGTTTGTGGGACAGGTAGGGTTTAGAAAGAGGAACGGACAGGTTGAACAACCAGCAAAGGAGCATTGGCAGTGGAAGAAATGAAATGCATAGAGATAAGTAATAAGGAAGTATCTTATTTGATTTTTAATGCTAGGAATATATGCAAAATGGTGAAAAATTGGTTCAAGATGATAGTTTAGGCTCAGATCATAGGTAGTTTAGATCTTTTATATTCTTAGATAGTAACAACATTGAAAGGGTTTAAGACATGAGAATGTTGAAAACCTTAAGATAACAGTTGTGTTATGGACTGTAAATCTGACCCTTAGGTAGAATCTATAGATTATTTATAGATTAACAGTCACCATTAACAGAATAGTTCAATAGTTTGGGTACTGTGTCTGTAATGACTAGAACAAGTTCATGATCACTCATGGAGGATCCAAAGTACATCGGTATGGCCGGACATTGTAATGATCAGAGGTGATTGTAGCTCTTGTCTCTAGATATTATTAGGGTTCCTTTTCACTTTTAAATGTTTCTTGTTTTGGGCAGTATATCATATGGTGGCTCTAAAGGTAGAGTACCACAGAATTAATAGCACATGCCTAATCAGATTGATAGGTGAGAGGGATGATGGCATAAAGAATAGAATATATAATTTTTAGAATTTTTGTAATTGTGATTAATCTAACTTTTCCTTTTGTAGAATTCGCAATAAAATTCTCTTACCTGAGTACCACAATAAAAGTCTTGTATATTTAAAAGTCCTGTGTGTGTTTCTTTTAAAGAACACATCTGAGTTTTGAGATATAAGCAAAAAAAGTGCAAAGCTTTTAGGAAAACTTTAAATCAGTATAGCATATATTAAAACTTTTTTTCAAATAGAAATGTAGCCAGAGGCCATTTAGAGTATATTTTGTATAATAACATGCCATCACTGAAAAAATAGACTTTAGTATGTCAGCACCTTTTAATTACTGATCTTTATTTTTCTGCTTGAGACAGGTGGCTTGTATGTAGATCTAACTGTGAGCTACATGGACAATCTCAGATGCTTACTGCTCTTGTGTTTTCTGTGTGCAGGCAGAAGGAGAAGACAGCCTGAAGAAGATGCAGCTGATGGAGCTCGCAATTCTGAACGGCACCTACAGAGATGCCAACATAAAATCACGTAAGAATGGGAACTGACCCCAGGGCAATGCTGTCTAAGCTATTTTGTCTACAAACCGTTCTCCTTTTGGCAGCATAACGCATGAACAGTTAAAGACCTGAAGTAAATGTGTCATTTACTGTGGGGCTAACAGTCTGATTTTTGATGATCTTGATTGATTGCAGCTCTCTCTTGATACTTAGTTAGGATATTATTCTTCAGATGAAATTTCAGCCTCTGAATTCAGGAACTGCAAGAATTGAAGGCTTTCAGCTCATGTTATGTTACATTTATCCAAAAGACAAAATTTTGAAAGCTTTAAAATCTCATTTAAAGTATATTTCAGTGCAATGACCCTTCCGGTGAATCCTTTTTTGCTTGCATGTTTCCCCTCCAGTATTTGTCCCTGTTGAGTTCACAGAGATCAGTAGGTGGTAACTATTTTCAATCTGCTTTTTTGTTTTTAAGGGATGTGTGCATGTTTTTGTGAGTTACAGATGATTGCTTTTTATATTTAATATGAAACAAAGTGAAATTTATGTTTTGAGACAACCTAAGGTTTACACGTACCATTTGTATGAACGTAGTAACATATTAGTAATTTTTTAAAAAAATACAATTTTAAAGTTCCAGCCAACTTTCCAAAATGTGGACAACGCAGTGGGTTTAAAAGTAATTGCTTTACAAGTGGTTGAGAATGTGAGTATATCATTTTTAGTCATGAATTTAGAAATAGGACTCTGAATTCTAAAGGTTCAGCTAATTTATATATACACCTAATGGTTACTTGCCTGACTTATTATAATGAAAATTTTTCTTTAATTTGAGACTGATTTCATTTGGAAATATACCAAAACTATTTCTGTGGACTCCAGTTATACATTTTTTTTGTAATATCTTTTAAATGCAAACATTTTTCTTGTGCTTTTGCATGTACCTTTATTCTCATGAACTCTTAAAGACAAATATCAAATATATGAACAAATGACATTTTAACAGTATCATTCAGGGTTTGTTTTTTTTTTAACAGTGGCTTTTGAATTTTTGCACGTTTTAATCACATTGGGAAAGGGAAAGCTGATTGCATTTGATTGGTGTGCTTTGACACTTTTGTATGATCAGTGCATGTACTAATGATTTCCTTTTATTTTTCTTCTTTCTTGCTTTTCTTTTCTTTTTCCTACTCCCCTCTCATTTTCTCATATTTTATACTGCTGTCCCTGTACTTCTTTCTAAATTTCTTTGCTTACTGTAGCAGCCCTTGCCTTTTCTCTTGCAGCAACAGCCCAGGCTGCTCCGAGGATCATTACTGGGCCTGCGCCTGTCCTTCCTCCAGCTGCCCTTCGTACTCCTACGCCAGCTGGTCCTACCATAATGCCTTTGATCAGACAAATACAGACCGCTGTCATGCCAAACGGAACTCCTCACCCCACTGCTGCAATAGTCCCTCCAGGGCCCGAGGCTGGGTTGATCTATACACCCTATGAATACCCCTACACGTTGGCACCAGCTACATCGATCCTTGAATACCCTATTGAACCCAGTGGTGTATTAGGTAAGTTTTCTCCATAAGTAGTTAATAACATTCTTCATAAATTTGCTGCCCTAAACTTTGAAATGATCTTACCAGTTTTAGGGAGGCAAAATAAAATTTCTATTAGGAAAGACTGAAAACTTTATTTCAGTTTAACAGTTCCCCTGTTAAAAAACTGCTCCTTAGTTTCGTTTAGATTCATTTGGTAACTCAAATTCACTTTGGTTGGGTAACTTTACTATATGAATTTTGAAAAAGAAGCACTTTCTGCTTTTGACATTACTGGAGTTGTACTTGACTTTATTTTAGGTCCCACCGTATTGCCCTATTGGCTCCATCAGTTCCACTTCCCAAAGTTATATTTTTGTCTCACTGATCTATTTGGCAGCTAAAATTTCAACTTCCGTGTGAAAATATTTTGAGGATTTTATAGAATGTATATTACTGTGTTTTTAAATGTTTGTGATCACTTAAAACGGGATCAGATTACTAGTTGCATCCTTTGGGATTTTCAGTTTTTGTCTTTTGAATTTCTAATTGACATTAAACTTGAGATGCCCTCCTCTAACTTCAGTAGTGCAGTGTGGCATGAGTGAGTGAATACTAAGCTACTGGTTTCAGAGTCACACTGGAGGCAGAAGTTAAGATCATACTAGAAACGCTTAGTTTTACATGAACAGAAAGTAGTGTGCTCGAAAAAGACATTACTGATACCTTTTTTTTATAGAGTGGATTGAAATGCCAGTCATGCCTGATATTTCAGCCCATTGATTTGCTGGATGAAGGACTAGAGTACAGCAGCTGTTATAACACGACCAGTCAATGTGGAACAAACTGTTTCCGTGCAACCCCTTTGTTTTACCAGACAGAATTGAATACTTTTTTCCCTGAATTGTATATGACCTTGGTGCTGCATGCAATGCTGTTGACTTTTAGGACTTGGACCTTTTACAGTTTTTCCCCCCCAGCATTAATATTGATTTATAAAAATTGAAAATCTTTAATGAACTGGACTTAAGATTTAAACTTGAAAATTCATTGTTCAATTAAAGAAAACCACAGCGCTCTGTATGTTATCTGTGTGTGTGCATGCACTCAGGTGCCTTTTGTTTTATGAACAAATACATTCTATTGTACATGTTTTATGTCTAAATCATTGTATAATTATAGGTCAGAGCTATACCACAGAGCTGTTGATGAGAGGCTTGTTTCTGTTGCACATTTCTCAAAGCATTTTTAAAATAACATATAACCTATAACCTTATTTAAGTTTTCCTTTCTATTAATACTCTGTCCTATGGCTCATGCATGCTCCTTCCCCCCAGAACTCCTCTCTGCTGCACCCACAGCATCTGTTCCTGAGGAGTTAGGACTCTTGACTTCCTACTGGGCTGGGGCTCTTAACCGCCAGCTGCCATTCATGACTTTCATTTCAAGATCTCCCTGGTTTTGCCATGTGGAATTTGACTTGTGTACAATTACTCATCTAAAATGAAAACGAGGTGATGGACCAGTTTATTGCATATAAAGAGTGAGAGGCACTGCTGTGCAATTCATTTCTTACTGTAAAGCATCATGTCTTTTGTTTGGGGAAAATTTTAATTATGAAATCTTAATTATTAGACTGGCAAAATTAAGAGCAAAATATACAAACACCTAATTGACATTCATAAGGTGGTTAATAATGAGTCTTAAATGAAAAAGAATATCTATTATGATGAATATTATTTTTCACTTTGCTTACCTAAGCACTAAAACATGATATTTACCCCTTGGAGAACTGAAGAAATTACTTAAAATTGCTGAATTACAATAAATTTGCACACAGATAACATGCATGCTATATGTAAAGTCTCACATTAAATTATCTAAAATTAGCATTGCCCTTCAAAACAGATGCAGACATGTGTGTTGGTGGTAGTGAGGAGATTGGTTTAGCATCAAATCTTCATTGATGACTAATTTTTAATTCCCTTCCTTTTATCTTTAGGTATGGCTTTCCCAACGAAAGGCTAAGAATTCAAGATCGGTCTTAACTGAACCCTCATCAGATCTGAATTTAACAAATGCTTAGTCTCAGCAGCCTCCGGGGAAAAAGCTTAGCCTAGCAGTCAGTGGCTTACTTGCACTTTTTGCACATAGATATAAAGTAAAAACGTGTTATTAATTTGGTTTAGTCTGTAATATCACAAAGTAATGGTAATTTATAAAGGAGTGTATAGTAGTGTACTGACTGCTAAGTGTACTATACTGTTTGCTTTACTAATCACCTAATTCATTGCAGTTCATACTTATTGACTCAGAGTTTAAAACCACAATCTGTAGGCTTTAAGAATTGCTTTTAAACCTTTTTAAAGTAACAAACTCTGGAAGTGGTCTTAAGGTTAGTAAATAATTGTCAGTATTAAACATGGCATTATTTAGTCCTGCTGGAAGAAAGGCACTTCAGTGAATATGTGACTAGTAAAGCTCAAATATGTTTGCATCTAATAGAGTTCATGAAATACTGTAACTTGGGGACTGTAAATGAATGGATAAGATAGGTTAAGGCCAATATGTTTGAAATGAATGCAATATTAATAGATGCATATATGTGACATATTACAGTTAATTTTAAAACTACTGTGCCTTAACATGTTTCTTAAACAAACTTTTGTGGTAAATGAATATTTGAAATCCATTTTGATAAACCTGCTGTTAATGTTTTCCCCCCCTTATGTATGTTTTCTAACTTTGTCTTGGTAATTGCAATTTAACTAGGTGCGGTGGCTACTAAAGTTCGAAGGCACGATATGCGTGTCCATCCTTACCAAAGGATTGTGACCGCAGACCGAGGTTAGTTTAGTTCTGCAGTTCTTGTTTATAAGAAATACGTTGGGTGTCCATAAAATGTGCAACACCACACCTGATGGAAAGTGTAACTGCTTACCTACACTCTATTTCCTTTTTTTCTGAACTCATTTGTAATGATTGACAGGTTTAATGGTTGGGTTTTTTGTTTTGTTTTGTTTTGTTTTGATTTTTCTCCCTCATATTTTAACTTATTAAATTTTCTATTATTGTGTACTATGATTTATTCCTACTAAAACATAAATTAGTTGTTTTGGGGAGCTATTAAATTTTTTTATGTTGCCTTAACTATTTTTCAGTAATAACTTCGGCTAAAACTTTCCTTTTATTGTTCTAAAATTTTGGGTTGGTATTGCAAAATGAATTGAATGGATGGTGCTTTAAGGAGAGGAGTAAAGGAATCTATGCCTCCTGTGTACTTTTGGAGAAAATTGAAGATTTAGTTTCCTTTTTTTTTTTTTTTTTTTTCTTTATCATAAAAACATTTGAGCCACTGTATAAACATGAGGCTGTATGTGTCAAGTATTTTTAGCTGAAATCAACAAAGTCAGGACTGTGAAGATATTTTTCATGTAGTGGATTTGTTTTAATCAGAAAATCAGCTCCCTCTTATTCTTATAGTTTCTTGCCAAAATGAATCCCTCTGATTTTTGTTATTTGCTGCTAAAATACATTATCTGAAGGTATACTATCTCCTGAAGTTCTGTGGTATATGAGATCCAACTGTTTTGGATATCCTTTTTGACGAACCTGTGACTGGAAAATAAGTCTTCTTTTTTCTCCTTTTCAACATTTGTAATTTGTGTCCTTGGACCCTTTTATAAATTATTCATGCTTTTGAGAGAAGGTATTTTCGGTTTATTGACATTGAATTGTTTTCTAAGTTTTTTTCACCACAGGAATCTCCAGCATAATAGTAAAGGATTTTAAATCTCTTATGGCACATTATTAACTAGTAATTAAATTGGTCAAAGACTCTAAATTTTGATAGAGAAAAAGTGATAGACTTTCCATTTGTACATTTTCTATGAATTTAAGAAAGATATATCTGGTTGAAATGGTTCCTTGGATACTCTGGATAAATACTGGACACAACTGTTGTCAACATTTAGAAATTAAATGCCTTTTCAAAGACATTGATACTATTTATTTAGCATCATATCTACTTAAAGAGCCTTGAAGACTTTTAACTACTGCATACATTATTTGTAGTGACTATTCTATGAACAGAATCAGTCCTAAGCTTGATGATTATCTGTGAATATACTTCTTGCACACGTGTCCAGCATAGACACCTCTCTTCCTGCACCAGAGAGAGCAGTGTGGGGAAAGTCACTTTCAGGTTAAAGACACAGGGTCCCATGAATAATCTCATGAATAATTTGAAGATTTATTCATATTTCTGATGTCTAAAAAGTATATGAAAGTAGTTTCTTTCTGATAAATTTTCGCTCCCTGTATCTACCCCCGTCAGGAGATTTCTCATCATTTTAACACTGTAATTATTGACTTAATACCCCAGTACCTTCAGATAGTTGAAAATATTAGAGGAGGATTTTAATGCATTTGGAAAATGTCAGTACATTCCATGCATGGCATTTTTGCAGTTATATGTGTTTGGATTAGTTCTATCACTGTTTTTATTCAAAGTGCAATGTCAGCAAACCGAAATGGCTATTTTTTTTTTTAAAGTAACAATATACTTGTTACTATCACCATAGGCACTCATTGGGTCTAAGGGAGATGTCTTAAGTCCTTTCATTTAAATTATTTTATGATACTACTGTTTTCTCTATTTTTGAGGTTTCTGCTTACTTTAAAAATCTTTTGAAGAGAAGATTATTATTACACTCATTTGATGCAAGGAAAAAGCTCTTGGACGTATAACCATGTAATTCTATGTGATCATTTAGAGTACTACATGGTTGACAAATACCTAGTTCTTTACTAAAAAAAAACACCTCTAAACATTTCAAAAGTGAATTTGAAGCTTATAAAAGGCCAACTGACTCTTTAGTTTTAATGAACTACAAGTGGTTTTTCACAGTTGACATGCCTGTATGTACTGTAGGTGGCTGCGACTTGGCAGAGGACATATTCTAGGTATACTGGTATATATAAATAGTAGTTGGCTTTGTTCATATATTCCACCCTTAAGGAAGCATAATAAGAAATTTTTATGAGTAATGATTTTACAAAAACCATTACTTATATAATTTATACAAGAGACTTGAACAATTTTAATCAGAAGTATAATATCAAAAATGCTTTAATCCGTATTTTGGAACACCTGTGAAGAAGTAGTATGGCTATCTCATGTGAAATATTTATTTTCTCCTTTCCTTTTGGAATAGCATTTTTCATTTAAATAAAGTTCTACTTCATTTTAAGAAATTCAGGGAAGATTTGGGCACATTGAAGATGCAGTATTTTTGTGGTATTTGTATACTATTCTAAGTAGTAGACTGTAGAAAACATTTTTTCATCAGGTGAAGGTAATAAATCAGGCCATCGTGTAGATCATTTAAACTCTGAACTTCACATCTACCGGGTTTTGACTTATGAAGTGGCACGGAATCTTAACTTTGCACTGAATATCTTTTCATTCACATCTCCTCTGCCTTAGTCACAATGGCAACAGTACAGAAAATTCTATCAAACCTCAGAATATAGTAGAAATAATGAAGCTGTTGAATGAGTCTTAAAAATTATACTACTGTTAAGTGGACCAAGTTTGGTGAAGCAGAATGTGACAGAGGTTGATTAAGGAAGGAACAAGTCAAGGACATTGGGAATGATAACTTTTCCACTTGAGAACTACTTTATGTTTTACTGTAATTTTTAAAAGTTTTTTGTTCTTTTTGTTATTTTGCAAAAGAAAATAGTATTTACAGGTGGCTTCTTTTAAACTATAAAATATAAAGCAGGAATGTATATGAAATGTCAGATTTTATTGTATTTGCAGAGTATTAGCTTTGAAATTGAATAAAGAAAGCTGTTTGTAGTTTTAAAATGCCTTATTGGTATCAATTAGAAATTTCTTCTATTTTTTGATGTACTTAGAGCTCTTTTGAGGTATAGAATTTTAAATGGCAGGATTTTACAGTGTTTACATGCAAGTACATTTTATACGTGTTCTATATGTGTAAAATAGTATTCTCAACTGGAGAGAGCTGGCCAGTGCAGAAGGCCTGGCCTTTCCCAGTTCCTGTGATGTTGCCTCCACTGCTAGACTACAGTATTGCTTTGTATCATGAGGCCAAGAAACTCCATGTTGTTTGTAAATAGAATAATTGAAAAAGCAATAAACATTTATTGAACAAAAGAAACTTTGTTTGGCCCAGAGTTTATGTCAAACCAAATTGTTCGTAGAAATTCAAATTTCTTTAGATTCCATTTCTGTTAATCATCAGTTATTAATAATCACATCCATCATTAATAGCTGCTTTAATGCTTGCATCTGAGAGGATACTAATGCTTAATAGCAGTCAGATACTGATAACTGCACTGACTGTTCAAAATTCTGTATATGAAATCTATTCATTGTTTTCCAATTTCCTTCATTGACTGCTACTAACTATTAGTTGTTAGTTGTATTTTATTTCTATTTTTTTCCCGTTAACCAGTTTTTTTTTTTTTTTTTTTTTTTTGTGGGAGTGGGCTCTTCTTCATTTGTTTAAATCATGATATGAATTGTCATGATTTTAATTGTATTCTGTAGATGGTGTCAATCAGTTTGTCAGAATTAAACATGCTTTTTTTATTAGTTGTGATTAGTTTTTCATGTTGTCATTAAGCCGTCACTAGCTGAAACTAATCTCTTCTCTATCTTTTCTTTTCTTTTTTTTGTTTTGTTTTTTGTTTCTAACCACCCAGCCGCCACCGGCAACTAACCTATGACCTTCTGACCTCTGAACTCTTCACCCAATGATGACCTGACCATGCCTGCCTGCTGATCAGTTAACTGGTAATCGCCTTTGCTTGCCTGTCGTCAGTGCAGCGAGCTGAGGCACTTGTCCGTTCGTCTTACCATCTAACCAAACAAAAGACAAAGAAATTGTTCTCCAACTCAGCTTTTTTTTTTTTCCCATCTGGGTGAAAGTGGTTCTAGCACCTGCACTGAATAGTAGTAAAGCAATAAGGCCCAACTCATCCCACAGCACTGATCATCTCTCAGTATCCCACCCTAAGCGAACGGTAAGAAGGCCTCTCTTAAGAAGGGAGACATGGCCCTTAACTACTTGATAACAGAGGCAGTTACTGTGAGAGACTTCTAGGAATCTTTTTCTTCTCATAGCGAAGTCAAAGCTCTCTGAATGTACTGTGTGATGATGCATCATGCATGAACCTTTGGTCAGGGATGTCATTGGTGAAGTGATTTCAAAAAGTATTCAAAATTTGATATGCTGTTTAGTCACTACAGTGCCCTCAAAGGGCAAAAGTTGCAGCCTTTTTTATATTGCCTGCCAAAATTTGAATTATTAGAAGAAAACTGTGCCATGAGAGAGGAACTTAACAAGGAGTTTTGAAAAGTAATGCAAAGAACAAAACTGCAACACTATTTTTAAAAAGATGAATATCTGAGTAAAAATTACTGAAACTTTATTTTACACCTCCTTAAAAAATATATGAGAACAAGGTACATGCATTATGTGTCACATTACTGGGCAAACTGTTCAAATATTTTTTTTAAACCTCCCTGTATAGAAAAAAAAAATCATTAAGGATGTAAAAGCCATGCTTGCCTATTTGCTGTATACATGTAATGAAATTGTAGATAAAGTGTAGTGCATTGAAACAAATGAACAAAAAGTAGATACTTTTACTATACAAGGGTGCTGGTGCAGAAAAAATATATATATTTTTGGAAATGTAGCATTTTATACTTTCAAGTGTTATAAAAAAGAAAAAGAACAAAGAAACCCTTTATTTCATTAAATGATTTTTTCTGGTGGTTGTCAAGAAACAAAAGACCAAAAGAGCCTTTTTGTCTTTCTTTTTTATTTTTTAAGTATTGGAATAAGTCTAAAGAAAAGAAAGTGCCTTATTTTCCTTCATGGTCATTTAGTCAAGTGTCTTGTAAGATCAGCTCCTCCCTTGGAATAAAAGTGAATGCATGTTCCTCAGTCGCCCAGTATGTGAATGAAGACAGGAGGGGAGACAAATGAGTTGATGGTTTTAATTTTATGATTTGTGCCACATTATTTTGATGTAAATTTGCCAAATCTGATACTGTGAAAAAGTTTGATAACTTTTCTAATGTCTGACTAGTTAGTTTTAAAACATCATTCTTTTAAAAATCATAATTGAGTACTTTGGGTTATTGCAGTCTTCAGCATTAGCCCAAAGGATTCTGATATAGAAATTATGAATGATCTGAACATCAGATCAAAAATTACAGACAAAATTATTCTATTTGGAGAAGGGGGATGCATTGGATGTTTTCTTAATTGGAGATAATAGTATACCTAGCAGATTTTTTCACAAAATAAATCTTTGTGATTTTCATTCTGGAAACAATATTTTGTAATAACCCACATTTAATCAGACTTCTTTATATCATACCAGATAACTGTATAGTCCATCTCTCTGCTGGCTTTAGTAACTGCTCCTCCTTCCATACATACCTTTTTTGTTGTCCCCTTTTTTAACTTTAAAAGAAGGTGAAAAACTAGCATCATTGTGTATGTAAACACTCAACTACATTTCAGGTTAAGCTTCCAATTTCTCACGAAGTTCAGTTTTATAGTTGGAACAACTTGTGTGCAAAACCTACATCTAAACACTTGAGGAAATAATCATTAGCTGTTCAGTACCAGACGTGGCAAATCTCAAGTGGCAGTGGACTTCCAGCTCATCAACTCGCTCTATCTCCCACACCTTCCCAGCTTCACAGTCAAGGTCAGCAGGAAGCTCAGTCTGCACCTTCACGGTGACCTCTCCATTATCTTGTCTCACTTGGAACCGTTTTCAGTTTATTTACTATGCAATAGACAGTCATTCTTTTATACTCATATAGTTTTGGTTTAATGTGCCACTGCTTTGTCTTTCTGTTACACATACAGTTGTTTTTGATTTATTTACAATATATGCTGTGCCATTTTGATTTTTATTGTGTTTGGTTGGTTGAATAAATTTGCGACACTCAAAACACTTGAGGTGATAGTTAAAAACAATACCAGTATTTGATCCAGTTTCATCTCAACTGTGTCATACCTGGACATTTTAGATGTTTATCAAAGGTCTTTTATGGGGGAGAAAGTAAATGTATGAAATAATAAATGTGTGACATTTATAAGTAATGTTGGCTCAGAACAAACTTTTGAAAACTTAGTTGACAATTTTTTGGATCAACTGAAAAAAAGAAGCATGACTTTTGAAATCTCTGAATGCCTTGGTTCTCAGTATTATCATTCTTTATTGAATTTATTTCTTATTAAAGTATGTAGTTTTTAAGACTTTTTTTCTGACAGTATTATGTAATTTTTTAGTGTGGGTAGATGGGAGTGTCGCTTGTATGTTATCGTACAGCTGACATGTATTTTTTTGTCTATTCTTTATTACCTTAGTAGTTTCATGCTATGTATGTACCATAACCAACCTATTGCCTATGAGAAACATGTAAGATAATGTATTTACAGCCATTGTTACAAGTTTATAATGTATTTTTCTATCTTGTTTTATATGTATGTTATATAACATTCAAAAAGAATTTTTTTCTTGATTGAGAAAAGGATACAAAATGCAAAATCCACAATTTTGATAACTGAAAATTGCCAATTGTTTTGCAGTACTTTATTATAATGGGTGTCTTGTCTTTTTTGGGCTTTTAGTTAGCTAATGAATGAATACATTAGACACTTCTGGGTTTTAGTTGGGATTTTACATAGCTTGCATTTTAATTCTTTGGTTCTTTGCTGTTTCTATTAACCCGTAGCATTATTTTAATAAATGTTATAATACCAACCTACTAACTCTGGACTATGTCTGTTCATTAACCTTTACGTGTTTAATTAAAATAAACAAATAAAGACAAAAGAATGTAAAGTCTTGAGTTACTGGACTAACCCTGAAGAACATGACCACAGATAACATAGTGTGACTTGTTTTTTATGTTGTTTGTCAGCTGACAATTCTGCACACTACTGTTAAAATGGCTTTGATTATTCTAGTCTTTTACCTGGGGGATAGGTGCCAGTAGACATGGGAACAAAGCATTTGTTTGAGGCATTCTTCTCTTAGTTATGTCACTTGCCTTTCAGCATCTGCCTTACTAATTGCACACTTTATTTTTCCTTCTCTAAAATAATCACTGTCTGCTTACAGCATATAGAGTAAAGAGATTCATTGTGATGATATACTCTGAGAAACCAGTTTGATTCGTTGTTGAGCCATTTGGTTTAATTTCTATAAGTAGGTGATTTTATGGTCCCATTATAAAGCCAAAATCGGGTGACATTTTACCTGTTAGGTTTTTGTCTTAACATTTTCCCTTTGCAAAGTGTTCACCTTGTTTAGCCAGCTGCTCCTGCTAGAAGAACTGAACATAGGTAAGGCCAGAGGCAGATTGGGTGTTTTTCATGACATTTTAAAGTAAGTGATGCGTGACCACAATGCAGTCCCCCACCTCTTTCCTCATTTAGCCTCCAGCACATCATGGAGTTTTTCTCAGGTGTTTTTTTCTCTCTCCACCCTCTTCCCACACATTGATGAAACGATGTTATAAGACTATAACATTGAAAAAGGAAGTTCAAGAGGAAAGAACACTGGGGTTTGAAGGATTTATATGTGATTAATTTCTTGCATGTAAATCGGTTTAAGATTTCTTAAATATCCTCATGCTTTTCTTGGCTGCAAATGAACCTCTAGTTATGACTTCACTGGTTTAACTCTTGGTGTATGTTTTTTGTGTCACAAACTGGTCATTGCCTTTTCTGTGCAACAGTTCTGCATATGAAAAGAGTTCTCAGGATGAATTTTACATTTGTAAATAACTGTTTATTTTTGTAAATTTTATTTATTTAGAGTTCTGAAGTTTTGGGCTGAAAGGAGTTATATGTAGTAAAGTTGTAACTACTAATATGCTCCTAACCAATGAAACCATCAAAGTATTTTCATATTTCATATATGTATGTGCATTTATGAAATTCATAGAATAGCAGTAACTCATTTAATCACCATTGATGGTCATTTGAACCATGTAAACAAATGTAGTCATTTCCCTGATAGGAGGAACAGGCAGTGCATTATTGTTAGGTAGACCAGTCTTTGATATGCTATCTGTAACAATTCCTTTTGGCATAACAAGTTTGTGTAGTAGTCTGCAAATTTAAAGATGTCTGTCAAGCTGCTAATATACAAATTGTCATGGTACCATGTCACTTAAATTGATGAAAAATTTCTATGCAGTTTACTGTTTTCTAAAGCCTATGAATGCAGTCTCATCTCATTTTCAGTGAAGGGTACTTTATGTATAATTACGTTAAATTGTCACCTTTTATGTTGGAAATGTTGTACAAAACAGTCTTCAAAGGTGAAAATAACATTATAGATCTTACTTTTATACAGGTTGCAATAGTATTAAATGTGAAACCACCAAATTCCTGGAATGGTAAAATTTTGGAGTCAGTTTATTGTTTGATACTATTATTTGATAAAGTGATTGATAATTGAGCTTTTAGTCAAAAGTTAGTGAAATTAATGTACTTGGTTATTTTTCTGTTTTGTTTTTAATTTTTCCTTTAGGCAAAATGTCAGGTAGAACACAGCATGAAGGTAAATGTTCACATACACCCTGGTACATTAACTCAATGTGTGATAAGAGTCTACCTAAAGGGGTGGGAAACACCCTGTCCATAAAACAAAGGTGATGTGTCCACACACAGATAGGTATTTGGTTAAGGCCAAGTACTACATAAATGAAGGATTGAATTTCTTGGTGCAACAAAAGCAACAGGTAGGTTTAAATGAAATTGCTTTTTGCCTAATTGAGTCATTTCAGTTAAGTCCAGCACTTTGGCATTCACATGTGACATTTTTCCGGATTTGAGGATTTTAAGGGTTTTGTTGGTTGGCTGGTTTGGTTTTGCTTGTTTGGAAAAAAGTATCTGTCTATGTTCCTTGATAATAGTGTTTGTCACTGTGTTCCCCACCAGTGGTTTTTGGTAGAATGAAACATGTTGCCAAATTATAATCCATTACTTAGCAACAATTACTGTCAAAACATCTTAGACTGGAATAGTAAAGCATGTAGTTTCCTATATTGTCATAAATCCTTTAATCTTTATTTAAAATGGTAAAAATAGCTTAACTCATTTAATGGGCAATACTATTTTAGAAATAGTCTCGTGGTACATGTAATGTTATCTGTGGTTACTTCAGTATAGAATTACTAAATTGTCTAAATTGTTTTGAAGAGCCTTAACACAATTATATGCACAATTGGTACTCAATGCTGAATCAAACTGGTTAACCTAAACACATTACTATCCTTTCTCTGTTTTCTGCTGCGCTAATTGCCAGGGTTTGGGAGAGGAGAAGGCATTAATTCATGATCAGTAGAATTGAAAGATAGGTGCAGCAATACACAATATTGACTCCACATTGCTTATTTGCTGTCCTTTCTTAAGACACCACACTGTGGGAAGATCTCAGCTCCAGGGTAAAATTAACGTATCTTTTAAAAAGTGCTATTATTGAGAAATTTTGATTACCAAATAAAGCTTTTGTGGTTTATTATAGTGGTATATATAATACATTTAGAATTTGTAGAAATTGTGTATGTATATAAGTAGAAATTGGAATAGGTGTTCCCAGGTCACATGTAAGCAGAGAACTGCAAATGACTGTACACAAAGTGCAATAAACCAACTGGAAAAAAGTGTATATGTGCTTAATCCTCTAGACAATACCGTTTATTTC